CTTCTTCTTTTTCATTTTTCTTTTCATTTCTTCTTCTTCTTTTCATTTCCTTCATTCTTCTTTTCATTTCTTCTTTTCTTCTTCTTCGTCGTGCCCCGTGACTGCCCAATTGAGTGAAGTGTGCGGTGATTCTAAGATCGACGGCACTCATCTGCATGTCATACTGACTGACAGTATTATTTCTCTTCCCCAGCAGACTCCAAGGGCATTTAAATTAAAGGTACAAGTGTTCTGCACTAATATAAAGGCTCTCTGAAGCCTAGAAACCCTTTTAATAAGTTAAATTCGCGGCGAATAAATTCGCATCGAATCGAATTTCTCCCGCAAATTCGGCGAATCAGCCGAATCAAATTTTTGAATAATTCGCTCATCTCTAGTGTTATCCTATGTGTCCATGTACACTACCTTAGGTTATTAGTCTTTTTTAACCACTTGCCTACCAGGTACTTTTACCCCCTTCCTGTCCAGGCCAATTTTCAGCTTTCAGTACTATTACAATTTGAATGTCAATTGTGCGGTCATGCAACATTGTACCCATATGAAATTTGTATCATTTTTTTCACACAAATAGAGTTTTCTTTTGGTGGTATTTAATCACCACTGGGGTTTTTATTTTTTTACAAAAAAGAGCAAAACATGTTTTAAAAAAAGTTTTTCTTTGTTTCTATTATAACATTTTGCAAACAGGTAATTTTTCTCCTTCACTAATGTGCATTTATGAGGCTGCACTGATAAGCAGCTCTGATGGGCACTGATAGGCAGCACTGATGGGCACTGATGAGGTGGCGAGTATAGACAGCACTGATGGGCACTGATGGGGTGGCACTGGTGGGTATTGATGAGGAGGCACTGGTGATGCTGCACTGATATGCAGCAATGATGGGCACTGATAGGCAGCACTGTGGGCACTGATAGGTGGTACTTATGGGCACTGACTGATAGCACTGACTGGCGGCACTGATGGGCACAACTGCTGGGTGGCACTACTGGGCAGCACTGATGGGTGGCACTGCTGAGCTCGGGTAGGTGGCACTGCTTGGCACTGATAGGTGGCACTGCTGGGCATTGTTGGGTGGCACTTCTGGGCACTGATGGGCGGCACTGCTGGGCACTTTTGGGTGGCACTGCTGGGTGGCACTGTTGGGTGGCACTGCTGGGCACTGTTGGGTGACACTTCTGGGTACTGCTGGGTGGAACTGCTGGGCACTGTTGGGTGGCACTGATGGGCGGCACTGATGATCAGGGCATTGGAACGTTTTCCAGCAGAAACAAACGCTAAATGCTCCTAAAAGCTGCTAAACACTACTAAACGCTACTAAATCGCTCCTTACAGCTTTTTTCTAGCTTTTTTTTTCTACGTGTACTGTAAAAATGCTAATAAAATGCTAACGCTTCTAAAACTCTACCAAAAAACACTATTACCGGCAGTTTACCCAGCGTTATTTCCAACCTTTTTTTAGCTTAAAAAAAATGCTAGTGTGCATGGAGCCTCAATGTGGTACTACATTTCATGTTCCAAATTATTTAGAAGTGGCCACTGTGAGCTAACATAAAATGGGCTGCTTGAACCATTGAACGCCATTTTTGCATGCTCATATTAAAGGCCATTGGGATGATGAAGATACTGAGTCCAATTCTGCAATTTACCTAGAATTAATTAGGGTTCCTCCATGGGTTTCAAGGAGCACCTTTAATTGTAGCTAAACGGTCTCCCATCTCATGGTACCTGCATAGATCCATAGTCAATGCCACTTGGCAGAGCCAGCAGCAGGATTGCAGGGATGTGATTCTGGTCAACCTGTAAGAGAGGCAATCTTCCCACTTACCACCACCAATGTAAGGGGCATTTTCCCAATGATCCCCAATGGACTACCAGGGGTTCTGTGATACCTGAAAATTATTTAAAAGGTCTACCCTGAAGAAAATATGTTGAGAAAGGCTGACTTAGAGGGCCAGCCAGCTGCACAAGGATAATTCCAGTACAAAAATTAGAGCTGTTCAGAGGGTAGGCTATTTAGCTTGATTCAATTTAAAGGATAGCTCAGGTATCAGTTGGAAGGCGACTGCTGCACACCCTGGCGTGCGAATAGTGTTAGGAACCTGTAGCTATAAGCTGCAGACATGTCTCCCTCATGCTGCCTATGAAGCAGATCTGACCACATGTCTGTAGCTTGCAACCACAGACCAAAACCATCCACAGAAGTTGCACTACCGGCAGCTTAAAACACTTTTCCACAGACCTAAGATGCAATGCATATCATCTAAGTCCACTCATGATCATGTTTAATTGTAGTTGTAAAGGCTCAAGGTTGTTTACTTTCATGCATTCTATTAATGAAGGTAAAAAACTTCTGTGTGCAGCAGCCCCCAGCCCCACCTAAATTTACCTGAGCCCCATTTTGATCCAGCAATGTGCACAAGAGCCTTGTCTCTCCTGGGTTTCTCCCTCCTTACTGGCTGAGACATCAGCGGTAGCCATTGGCTCCTACTACTGTCAATCATAGCCAGTGAGCCAATGAGGAGAGAGGTTGAGCCGTACTACATGTGTGAACGGGCACACAGATTAACGGCGCGGGAGCAAGCCTGCTCGGATACCCCCAGCTGGGGGTATCCTGGAGAGAAGGGCCAGGAGCACCAGGGAGGGACCTGAGAAGGGAGGATAAGGGCTGCTCTGTGTAAAGCCACTATACAGAGCAGGTAAGTATAGCATGTTTGTTATTTAAAAAAAAAAAAAAAATATCTACCTTTAAACGCTTCCCGACCGCCCTATAGCAGAAGTAATGCTACAGGGCAGCAGGGCTGCACAAAATCAAGTATATATACATGATTTTGTATTTCCGGGTAGGGGGCCCTACCCATGCCGCCATTGGCGGGTTCAGCTGTCGATCACTGGGTCCCGGCCGGGGACAATACAGTTCTCTCCCCTGTCAGCTCTATAGCAAAGCAATGCAAAGCAACGTGCTTACATAGTAAAACACAGCACACAGTAAAAACACACACAGCACCCTTTGATTGCCCCAGATGTTAACCCCTTCCTTCCCAATGTCATTAGTACAGTGTCAGTGCTTTTTATTAGCACTGATCACTGTATTAGTGTCACTGGAGATGTCAGTGGCAGTTAGTTTGCCCCCCCCTACCCAGTGTCAGAATACCCGCCACAGTCCCGCTATAAGTCGCTGATCACCACCATTACTAATATTAAAAAAAAAATTCCAGTATCTATACTGCCATTTGTAGTCATTATAACTTTCACATAAACCAATTAATTTACACGTATTGGGATTGTTTTTTAGCAAAGACATTTGGCCTAAATTTATGATGAAATTTGATTTTTTAAATTTTTTTACTGGATATGTTTTATAGCTAAAAATATTTTTTTTTAATCAAAATTGTTGGCCTTTTTTTGTTTATAGCGCCAAAAAAACCCAAAAACGCACAGCAGTCAAATACCACCAAAAGAAAGATCTATTTGTGGGGAAAAAAAGGACATACATTTCATCTGGGTGCAGAGTTGCATGACCGAACAATTGTCAGTTAAATTAGCACAGCGCCGTATCGCAAAAAATGGCCTGGTCAGGAAGGGGGGTAAATCTTCTGGAGGGCAAGTGGTTAATGTCACTTCAAGGCTAGTAAGGCAGACCACAACTACAGTTAGGGGCAGACTGACCATTTGGGAACTCGGGCACTGCCCGAGGGCCCGGGGTCAGTAGGGGGCCCCATGAGATGCTCCTGGTACCTTTCATAGGCTTTTTTGATTGTGGTTTGAGTGTAGGCGAGGACACAGGGGCCCCATGATCTCCTACTGCCCGGGGGCCCCATGAGTTGTCAGTCCGCCCCTGGCTACAGTACAAAAGTACCACTACACTTTAAATTCAAAATGTTCCTATTTAACTAGAGTGTACTTTTATGTACAACCTAAAGTGTCTTCGGACATGTCTTTGAAGATTTTCATTTGTCCAGGTCGTAGTTTTTCTAGTAGTGTCTTCAAACATACAGTTTTATGGCTGGATTTAATTGTATGGTCCTTTAGTTTGCAATTTTACTATGATAGCTGATCTTTGGGGGCCCTTCAGTGCTGTAGTCCTATTATACAGCAAAGAAGTGAAATCTACTCGTGATAAAATATACTTTTGCTGATATCTGTTTTCTGCAGCCCTAAAATGAAAGACATGAAAATCAAGATACAGACTGCCCCCACAAAGATTTAATTATTCAGTAACCACTCTTCTTAGACCTATTAAAAGAATGATGTGACTAAGTCCAGAGACAAACACAATTGCATGTTTTAGCATTTATACTTGCACTGTAGATATTTAGCCCTCATGCACACTGGACCTTTTTTACAGCGGCTGTTTTTGGCTTTTGGCATTTTTTTCTACAGCCAGTAAACCCCCCAGCATGTTATCCTATGTGTCCATGCACACAGAGACTGTAGTCAACGTTTTTTGGCTGGGACGTTTTTTGGCTGGAAAAAAACACCAAGACTAGTGGGTTTCTAGAGGAGTTTCTTAGCTGAAAATACACTCAAATGCTGAAAAACGCGGCACATCATGGCAAACCGGCATTTTTGGACTTTTTTGACTGAAAACATTTTTTTTTTCTGCTAAAAAAAACACTAAAAACTGCAAAATCAGCAAAACGCTAAAAAAAAACTCTGGAAAACTTATTTTTTTAACGTGACTTTACACAGCTAATGTTACCATTATTAAAATTCCCAGTGTGCATGGAGCCTTAAAATTGCACTAGGCATTTGCAGTGTAACTGAATGCAACCTAGTTATGTTTAGCCAACATAAGTATGGCGACTACATGTTTCAGGGCTGGCAGGTTTGCATTTTTTTTTTCAGTTCTCTCATTTGAGAACAAAAAACTAAGTGTGCTGTATCTGTGTTTATTGTATTACCCATCATAGTCATACCTGACAATATATGAATTAAAGGCAGCCTGGTGTGCATGCCTGTAATTATTTGCCTGTTATGTCATTGTTTCCTGTCTTTGACAGAAAAGGATGCAGCAGATAATGATACACTGTTTCCTGAGCGTAAAATCAAAGCTGGAGTGTCGACGGGGCTTTTTTGACCTTATTGGCTGTGATTTCCTGATTGACGATGATTTTAAGGTATTATATTAATATAAATTAAATCCTAAGATATATCTCATATCATCATTTAGATCCATTTCAAACATTCTAAATGCACGGGCATTTGAGGAATTGTTACAGTTTCACCCTCGTATATAGGTATTGGACTGGTTCAATGAAAAAGACTTATCGCTAAAGCTGCAGAATATGGAAAACTAGATCCAATCAGTACCAATGCTATGAACATACTCGTGGTTACTATACATTAAAAGAATTATGCATTTTTAAAATGATAGTTAGAAACTTTTCCACTGCTGGCCTTATGCTAAATGGTAACTGTTACTTTTACTGGTTGGCTATCTTTGATTTGTTTAACTACTGTTTTTCTTTAGATCCTGTAAGGTTGCCTGTAGACTGTATAGCAAAGACTGGTTTTATCTTCCATATCATTAACTCAGCTTGTCATCACCCTATTGGGAGGCTGTTATGTGAAGCCTTAAAATTACAATTTAATAGAAAATCCTACTGAATGGGTTATAGTGGTTTTTAGCAAAAGAGAAAACAACAATAAAAACAATCACTTCATTTATATGTGGGCGAAGCACTTGCAACAGAACAAGGACCTGTTGTTTCCATGTGCCTGCTTGACTTATTGCCTTCCTTGCATAACATGAAATGTGGAGTGAGCTCCTAGATTTAAGCGATACGTAGAAAAGGCCAATCAGGGGCCTTAATCCTCATGCACACGGGACATTTTTACAGAGGCTGTTTTTGGCTTTTTATGTTTTTTTCGACAGCCAGTAAACTCCCCAACATGTTATCCTATGTGTCCATGCACACATAGACTGTAATCAACGTTTTTTGGCAGGCACTTTTTTTGGCTGGAAAAAAAAACCCAGGTAAAACTCGAAAAATTAGAATATCGTGCAAAAGTTCATTTATTTCAGTAATCCAACTTAAAAGGTGAAACTAATATATGAGATAGACTCATTACATGCAAAGCAAGATAGTTCAAGCCGTGATTTGTCATAATTGTGATGATTATGGCTTACAGCTCATGAAAACCCCAAATCCACAATCTCAGAAAATTAGAATATTACATGCAATCAATAAAACAAGGATTGTACATAGAACAATATCGGACCTCTGAAAAGTATAAGCATGCATATGTACTCAGTACTTGGTTTGGGCCCCTTTTGCAGCAATTACTGCCTCAATGTGGCGTGGCATGGAAGCTATCAGCCTGTGGCACTGCTGAGGTGTTATGGAAGATCAGGATGCTTCAATAGCGGCTGTCAGCTCTTTTGCATTGTTCGGTCTCATGTCTCTCATCTTTCTCTTGGCAACTGTTTAGTTTTTTGTGTAGGGTGTACTGATGGGTGATTTTTTTGCATATCCCAGAGTTCTTGTTTAAGGTGTTGAGATGAGGTTTTAATTTAGACAAGCCATAAATGTGTTTTTTGTTTTTTGTTTGTGGGATGAATAAAAAAAATGAACGTATTCCTCCAGCCATATAGTTGAGGTAGATGGAATAATACTCTCCAGTTAGACATTGTATTCTGACAGAAGAGACTTTCCACTGTCAGAATAAACTGATAAATGGCTGCAGCCGCTGATTGAGAAAAATTTTAAGCAAGGCCATTTGACAGAAGTTGATCACTACTAGATCGACTTCTGTTGAGCAGGTGCAGCCACACATGTTGAAATTCGTCTGGTCCCTGCTGAAATGGCCAAATTCCGATCCATCTATGGTCAACTTTAGTGTATATTAGGACAGATGGCAACTTGGAGCTTATTGTCAGGCTCCTCAGTAATGGAAGCCCTAGTGCCAGCGCTCTTCTGATGTTGGTGGTAATTCTCCAATGGATATTAAATGGCGAAAAACAAGACACAGCAAATTTGTGTACTGGACATGTGCAGTAGATCTGCTGGAAATATTTTATAGTACTACAAAAAGAATGTCAGATACTAAATTTCAAATGCAGCTTATAACATGAATAGACATAACAAGCTGGTTTACACTCCTCCCAGGAGACTTGTATTCCTTGATCCGTTCACATGGCAAACTGTATTGAGAGGAAGGAAACACAGACAACATGTAGTGAGATAGGATATAGGTTACACTGAGCTTTAGCTGAGGAGTGATGTTACATTGTCTGTGTTTGTAAAAAAAAAAAAAACCTTGTAGCTTAAAGCTGAAGTTTATACTGTTTATATTTTGCCTTCCATGGTTCTTCTCAACTCCTTTCTCAAAATACTAATTCAATTTTTAAAAAAAACTTTTCAATATTCCTTACATACCTTGTTTTAGACCCAGCAATGTCATCAGTGGGTCTCTGTGCTTCTCTATGCAGGTAGATCAAAGCTGGTGAAAGTTGCTATACATAGCTTCCTGAAACATCATAGCAATCTGCCTCAGTTCTTTTTTTCAGGAACCCTCAGCCCTGATGGGCTTTTCAGCAGAGTTATGTAAATTTCAATGCCACAATTTGTATTATTTTATTTAAAACTTTGCACAGTTTACTGATCATGCTTATGTACCACATGCTGTATGTGTAATCATTTCTAGCAGGGGTTCCCTAAGACCTTAAGACTATTTAAAGGGTTCCTCGGGGTAAACAAGTTTGAGATAAGTTGGGCTGGACAATAACCAAGATTAAGACTTTTGCCAAGCCTTACGTCCTGCTGCTGTCAATGAGACCACTTTCTATCTATGGCCAGCCAGACACTTCTTGCTGACTCTTTTTTAGGTGTGGCTTCTGGAAATGAACTGTAATCCTGCTCTGCATACCAACTGTGAGGTACTGAAAGAAGTAATCCCCGATGTGGTCAACGAAACCCTTGGTATGTATATTTCATACACATTTTTCCACTACTTATCATTTGTCAATGTTTTGCTTAGATCTTAGCAAGGATTACCGATTTCTAATATGTATTGGTCTTCAGCATTCTTTAGATATTTTTCATTGCCTGCAATTTGCCGAATAATACTACCATAGAAGACAAAACGTTCAACTTTTGAATCAGTTTGCTTTTTCTGGGTTAGTTGTGATTATGCCTAACCCAGGTACTGCAAAAATATCATACAATATATATGAATATATGTACAATATTCATTATGACATATGAGATTAAAGTATATTTAGAGGTAAAACTATTTTTTGGTTTTGGATAGAGTACAGAATGGTTAAAACCCTCAGTAGGTTTTTACTGTTAAATACAATGGGGGTTCCCTGTACAATTTCCATTCACCTAGCAAGAAAATGTAACTAATCTGTCTCAACTGCTCAAGTGAAAAAAGCTTAGGTTTTTGTTGCATACATTTGCAAATACACGTGTAACCACTTGGGTATCACTTGTAATATCCTTCATTACCAGGTTCTGTTTCCATTTTCAGTGCTGTGATAGTTTGACTAACAATTACTTGCTCATCCAACGCAACACTGTATCCAAATGAACTGTAAATATATTATTTTAAGACAGATTTAGCGTTCTTTTGATGGTATTTATTACCTACAAAATTTTCTATTTTTACTATAATATAAAATAAATACCAACATTTTGAAAAAAAATCTGTTCTGTTTCTGTTTTTTGATATAAAACTTATCAAATAATTCAGCAAGAAAAAAAAAAAAATTGGATTATAATTACATTCTACATTTACATTTTTGGCACTTTTTGGAAGTAAAGAAACATGCTGGCATTGAACATGGGGACTGGTAATGCTGCACTAGATTAATGTAAAGTAATGTATTGATCATATGTAGAGGTAGGTTGAGGTGAAGGGGTTAATACACAGGTCACATACAGTGAGAAAATGGAGATGAGGGGGTTATTTAATGCACAGGATAGGGGAGGCAAAGAGTTAATATACAGGTCGCATACATACAGAGACAGGGTGAATAGGAGATGGGGTTGAAGGAGTTAATAAATGATCAGACAGTCAGTGTAAATTCCTCATCATTTCTGCTGCTGATCCATTCATTACCCATTCCTACTGTATTTCTGTTTGCCTCCCCTTTCTCCATCGTAAGAGGAAGGAGAGTAATAACAATGTACACAGTAGTGTCTTTATATTTGTGAACAATGTGATTAGTCTTTGTAGCGAAGACATGGTACAGAGCCACTCTGACTGGCTCAGTACACTAAGTCTGTGGACTAAGCTGTCTAATGACGGCTTGGTGCAAGGCCATTAATGAGCACAATGGTCGCCCAATGGTGCCATTTATGCCATTTATGAACAGCACTAGGGAAATAACAGTCCACCTCTCTCCTCCATTTATAAATATACAGTGGTTGTGAAGTGGTTAAGCCACGCTGTAACTGCAGTACACAGCTGAAGGCAGCCCTCCTCCTTAAAGATACAGCCACACACTGGGAGCCCAGACATCATCATTGCCAGGCAGCTAAAGACTTCCAGTGAGCGTCTGTACCAAATGAAAAAAAAATAACAATGGCGGCTGCACAGATCAGTCTGAAACGAATTAACTTAAGAAAGGGAAAGGCAATATGCAAAGCAATACAAAGGGTGGCCCTTTGGTTTTTATTGCTGTGTGTGTTTCCACTGGGGATATTCACCCTCTGTATTAGTCTATATTAGATTACTGTCACCAGGAGAGATAGTGATGGGAAATCCAAACTTTTACAGTTGCCATTGGAACAGGAGCCAAGGGGACAACATGGACACTTGTTCCAGTGACTGCTCTCACTTTAGAGAGCTATCCACTCACTTTGTATCATATCTCTGGGAAAGGGCACAAAGATAGAGGAAAAACAGTTTTAACTATTCTCCAATCCAAAACTAAAAAAAAAAAAAAAGTTTGCTTTAGATACACTTTAATTGGCACAGGCAAAGGAAATAATTCCCAGTTTTATGGGGATTATAGCAGACTTTAAAGTGGTAATAAAGAACGTAAAGAAAAAAAAAGTCCACCTGCAAGTTAATGTAAAGTTCTAGTACTAGCACATTATGGTACAGTTAGCCCTTCAGTGGTGCGTTGTCACCACATCCATCTTTACCCAGTCTTCCTTCTGGGTTCCTGAGCTCCAGCTGCATGAATGGCCGAGCTGTGATGATGTCACGGCTGCAGCATGGAGCTCTGAAGGTATGACACAGGTATGCTGTGCCTTCAGAGCACATGCGCCGGTGATGTCACCAGATGCATCCAATGCGAATATCTGCTAAACAGAGCAAATTTACGAGATATTCACTGTACCTACAGGTAAGCCTTATATACAAGTTAAAATTGGACTTCACTACCACTTTAAACTCCTAAAATGTTTTTACAGTTCTGTAGGAGCTGTGGTGGAGATATCTACTACTACCTCTAGCTGTGACAGATGCTGCTAATTTTTTTATTTCAATTGAGCCTCTAATGTCATCAGACAAAGCATTTCTCTATTCATACCTATAGAATGTAGAATCTAGAGGGTGTTGGGCACAGGGATGTCATTGACTGATTATCTATGGGAAAAATTCACTTCATTTGATGACACCAGAGGCTTAACTGAAAAGATAAGTAAGAATTGTGACAGCCTTTCCATTCGGAGAATCTCTATAAGGCTTCCTGGAGGAATGAAAAACCTGGCTTTCTCTATGCCATACCAATTGGGTAATTCTGTCTGAGATGCAGCTAAGCTTCAGATAAAGCCCTTTGTGATATGCAACTCAACTCATTTAAAAGACTTTATCAAAGTCCTTTGTTTCCCCAGACTTGGCTCTTGAGATCTTCAATAAAAGCTTCAGAGGCCAACGTATTATGCCCCTGAATACACAGAGAAAGTTTGTGTTGTTATATAATGGGGAAACCAATGAACAGGCAATAAAATTTAACTGGCCAAGAAGCTCCAGTCCTGTTAAAGAAGAGAAGAAGACAGCGCCAGCTGACAACCAAAACAGACTTGTGAAAAATGTGGAGAAGCCCCAAAGATCTTTTAAACCTCTTGCAGACAATGCAAACCGTATTGTCAGTAGGTCAACTGTCATACGATCTCCTCAAAGAACAAGCTTGGCAATGTCCCCCATTAATATGATGGGCTTTCATGATGGCTTGACACTCCACACAGTGAGACACAAAGCCAGGTATAACATAACATCTAAGAGTCTGGGTGGGCCTCAGTTCAACACTTTAACAGAGGTGGGCCGAACGAATAGCAAAGCTGAACCAACAACTGTTGCCAAGATTTCATTTACAGGTCCTCAAAAATTTAGGGTGGTGGGTAGAAAAACACCCCAGTTTACAAGGAGGAGCACACCTGATACATCAGTCAACACCAATGTTGTAATCCTTTCTGAACAGAATCGTCTCCTCTTCAGCAGAGGTTCCATTCGCAATACTGAGGACCTCGGTGAACCCAAATTAGAAGATGTACAGTCAAATGAACATGGTCATGGGGAATCTGTGAAATAGTGTTGTTCACTAAAACTAGTAAAAGAACATTAAAAAGTAATTAAAGGCTTATGTATGTATGTGTGTAGATGGTCACATCTGGTATTTCTAAACTTTCACCGGTCAAACTGAAAACCATTGTCAAACTTACAGTATTTACCCTTGCTGTTTCTTTCAAGAGAAGAGTCCAGCAATGCATAAGCTTGGCATTTTTACTACAGAATCTACAAGATAACCTGCAAGGTTTGTTAAGAATTCCACTGAAAGAAAGTTTTACAGAACTAGTGTATGAGTTTATGGGTAACATCCTTGCCTTGTTACGGAGTTCTGCTAAGGTGAAAAAAAAATGCTTCGATCATTTGCAGTTCTGGTTCCGTCTTCTGCATTGAATGTCACTCAAATGTTTACCCCATAGCCATGGAAGACAAAATCCTCTGACACATGCTTATCACAAGCACAATGAACTGCAGGCAGGAGAACTTAATGATTACAAAAATGAACGACAGATACGTTTTACCCATTATAGCCCCTATTCAATAAAGGGCTCTTATTGTTAAGTGCAGTAACCAATCAGAATTTAGTTTGTTGATGTCAAGCTAGTAGATGATGGATTTTGTTTTCCATGGGTTGCTGTACTGTACTGTATTGACAACATCCCTGTCACTGCAACCACTACTACTGATATGTCCCTGGCTCCTCATGGGGACAGGTCTCACTTCCGCTAGTCGGAATTTATAAAAACTCGTCATTACCCTGCAAGGGAAAAAATAAACAGCACAGGTGCCTGCAATGTTTCTCGCTACCTACACCAACCCAAAACCATTTTATCTTATCTTGAAAGAAAGTTGAAAATACATTTTATTCTATGTGTAAACCCAATCATTAAATCGTATATAAACTTTAATATGTTAAATGTATATTTTAAATGTAATTTCATTATTGATTTTTATTTATTTTTTTTTATTTGAATCTTTCATTAAAATCACACCTTGTGATCCTTCTGTGAAGGTCATTGTGTAGGCACTTTCTGCTATAGGATGACTATGCTTTGTGCCAGTTTTTTGTCTGTATTGTCATGCTCTCCCAATGAAGACTGCAAACTGCTACGCCAAAGCACATTGCAGAGACGCGGTCCACTGTTATCACCATTAGGAAATGCCATGCAACAGTGCAGACTTGAAGACATGAAGCGGCTGTAAAGAAGCTGGTGAAGATCAGCAGTGCTAAAAAAAAGTCAAACTGTATGAAAAAGTATTGAATTAAAAAAAAAAAGGAATGTATTTTTGATACACCGTGTTTTAGTAAGCTGAAGCATTAAAGTACATGTAAAAAACCCATTCAGTTTAAAAAAGAAATGAAAATTTGTGTATAGATATAAAAACATCATAAATACCCTTGTTTTAAATGTGATCTTACACCTTTTGTTCTCAGCTGCATAAGGAGCTCAGAGAGCTGGGGGAGGTGAAACAACAGAACACTGGTCCTCCCAGCAAATAGCTATGCCGCGGGGAAGGGGGGAGGAAAGCAGGCTAAGTTCCCGGCACAGCTAGAAAACTTACCACACTGTGATCTCATGCCTAGTGTGGTTGGTTTTTAATAGGAAAGCAGAGGGACTTGCAGCAGCACCAGGGATTTCACACAAAGGTAGCAATATAAAGAGAACAGGATACTTTTCCATGCAAGTAGATGGTACAGCAGGCACGGATCAAGAATGTGAAATGTTAGGGTGACATATTCTTTAAGAGGACTGCAAAAGATTACAGACACTCTGTACGAGAACAAGTCCAGATGAATGTGGCTGATACTAAATATAACTATTTTAAGATAAACTAAAATTAATATTTATTTCAAAATTGTTTCACCATTGTTCATCCACTAATGGAAATGTACAACACATCATTATCTAGATATCTATGCAAACAGTATGCCATTCAGTTAGGAGTTAGAATACATATACTTTAATTACAAGAGCTTTTGTGAAATGATGACTATTACCTAAAATGCTTGGGTGGAGCAGTTTACTTTAAGTGAACCTATACTCCTTCTTAAGCTTTTAAGTAGAAAATCCTGCCTAATAGCAGATACAAGAGGAATGCTATTATTTTTATTATCCAAAAAAGCCTTTCCAATTTAATTTGACTTTGTCACCTGGGCAAGACTTTCCCTGGTTATATCTAAGCCATGCCAACTATAATTCCACAGTTCAGTGATGAAGCCCTAGATGAGTCAACAATAGTACTCTCCTTGGACAGGAGGGTGGCAAGTGATGGAGAGTAGCCATTGAAGTTGGTCACACACTGGTTGAATTTCATCCATTTGAATGCACAGCGCAACAAGGCAAGGCTTCCCCTACGGTTTCCTTCACTTGCAATGCCGGCATTGAGAACCTGGAGGCTAGTGAAGAACCAGCCCGGGTGACGACAGTGCTGGACCCCTGGACAGGTAAGTGTCCTTATATTAAAAGTCAGCAGCTGCAATATTTGTAGCTGATGACTTTTATTTTTTGGGTGGAGCCTCTTCTTTAACATTGATTCAAATGGCCGTTTAGCCACATAGATTGCATTCTGGCAGCAAGAATCATCAGATTCTTGTGGCCGGAATGACAGATGCACGTGAATAGCGGCAGCTGCTCAGCCTGTACAAAGTATTGACAGGCTGTCAACAGCCATTGCTGCTTGTATATAGCCACAGACTAAGCAGTTACCTGTGGTTTGGGACAGATGGGCAGTTACAGAAACAGTTTTTTTTCCTTTGGGATACCTTCTACATACTCCGGATCAGAGAGCAACCCAATGCAAGAGCCAAGGCATACTCCAGACTGGGTTCCGCTAATGTCCTCTTTCATAATGGCAGGGCCACTAGGTGTGGCACAAATGGCTTTCCTTCGTAGGCTCTAATGATAAAGACATCTCCCTGCATCTGCTTCTGAAATGCAAGTTGCTTGGCTGCCTATGGTTTCAATACATTTTAAGTCACTGAACAGCAACAAACACATGCAATAGAAAGACGTGTGAAGTCAGGACTCCTTATCTCCATACTACGACCACATAGCAATATGGACTTATTAAGTTAATGACATTGACCCTGTAGGGTCATGTGGTCATAATAGGTCAATAATGTCACAAGTATGCCCTCTCATTTGTGTAATTACAGCTGTGGGCCAGAAAATGTCCCAGTTGCAACTCATTGGCTTGGCACTAACAGTTGGGAACAGGGTTTAGAACTGATCCTAAGCCTATCCCTAGTAACTAGCTGGTATCATACCACCAGTATAGCCAACATTGTCTGGGTTCTAATGTGAGGTTCTCCTCCCCAATGATGTATAATGAATACAGAGCTGCATTAAAGTAGTTCAATGAGGTTGATTTACTAAAACTAGTGAGTGCAAAGTCTGGTGTCGCTCTGCATAGAAACCAATCAGCTTTCAGTTTTCTTTGTCAAAGCTTAATTGAACAAACTGAAGGTAGAAGCTGATTGGCTACCATGCACAGCTGCACCAGATTATGCACTCTAGTTTTAGCAAATCAACCCCCATGTTATAGACACTTTTTAATACAGTTATACCTATGCAGGCTCCATAACTGCTTTTGCTTAGTGTCAGAAATTATCTTTCTTACCTTTTTACAGAGTTATCTGTCATGTGACCTTGTATCTGGTCTTCCTGATAGTGGGGTGTGGGATTACAGGACACTGTGCAGACACACAGGGGTTGATTTATTAAAACTGGAGAATGCAAAATCTGTTTCAGCTGTGCATTGTAGCCAATCAGCTGTTAGCTTGTTCAACTAAGCTTTGACTAAATAAACTGGAATCTGATTGGTTTCTATGCAGAGCTGCACCAGATTTTGCACTCTCCGGTTTTAGTAAATCAACCCCATAGTGTGCCTGTATTCCATAGTCTGTTCAGCGGGCTGCAAGATGCAGGCTGTACTTGAGCAGGGGGTGTGTTGCAAGAGACAGGCTATGATTGGAAGGAGGTGTGTGCCAGAGGCAGGCTGTGATTGGTAGGGGGGGTTGGCTGATGAAACTACGCAATACAGGCATGCTGTGTGTCTGCACACTGTCCTGTGCCTCTGAATCACCAGCCAAAGGATGAAAACTGACCATGCAAGAACAGATCATCTTCTTTGCTTTGTGTGGTCAGTTTACACACGCTCACACACACAAAAACTTTAATAAGTGCTTGAGTATTTTTTTTTTTATTTGTCACCATTGTTATTTGTATTTGTATGATTTTGGTAAAAATTATCTTCTCAAGTCCCAGTATAGCAACAATGTTCTCATGTGGGGCCTTAGTTTTAGAAGTTTCCAAACCCCTGCTCTATGCAAGTCAATGTGAACCCCAGCTCTATACAACTCAAGATGAATTCCTGCTCTATACAAGTCAAGGTGAACCCCAGCTCTATACAAGTCAATGTGAACCCCAGCTCTATACAAGCCAAGGTGAACTCCTGCTCAATACAAGTCAAGGTGAACTTCTGCTCTGTACAAGTCAGTGTGAACCCCAGCTCTATACAAGTCAATGTGAACCCCAGCTCTATACAAGCCAAGGTGAACTCCTGCTCTATACAAGTCAAGGTTAACTCCTGCTCTGTACAAGTCAATGTGATCCCCAGCTCTATACAAGTCAATGTGAACCCCGGCTCTATACATGTCAAGGTGAACTCCTCCTCTGTACAAGTCAGTGTGAAGCCCAGTTCTATACAAGACAAGGTGAACTCCTG